AACGTGAGGAAAAAAAAGGGTGTAAATAAAAGTTTGTTGTTGTTTTCTGGAAGTGCATACTGCAGACAATTGCACTCAGACTAGAAAATGCCAAGAAAATGATTAAACGTTTAGTAAGTCTCAAATGCATACACAATATATACTGTACTTTCCTGATGTTAGCAATAGTCAGCAAGGTTTAGGGGGACACTTGTAGAGGTCATGCACCCTTAATCCCAACATACAGTGTATTTGGCGAAAGCACTCTCAACGCTGATTTGTAGGAAGCTCTCCAGAATTTCAGACAGAGAATGTGACGACGTTTTCAAAAAAGCAAGAGCAGTGGAAAACAATGCACTGGTTGGGACTGGAGCCGTACTCTCCCTCCCCGCTTCATATAGGAACTGCCTAGAACAATAGATGCTTTCAGGAGTGCAAAATCAGCTGGGAGAGCATTCCCATCGCTGGCCCCTGGGAACCACATCGCATAGTTGAGAGGGTTTTGTCTAGGGGAGCCTATGGCCTGGGCAGGAAAACAGGCGAACCCACAGGGTGGCCTGTAGAGTCTCTGCCACTAATGAGAAAGGAGGCTTTGTGGGGAAGGCACCTTGTGCTCCTTTGGGTAGAGAATCCAGGAGCTTAGCCTATTGTGTCACAGGGACGAGCCGGCGAGGTCTCCATGGCAACCTGGAGTGTACACAATGCGCCATATGTGCCTAGGGATGGGGATGGGAGCTGCGTCGAGGAAAAATGCGATAATGAGTTGAGTGGATCACTCAACCTATGCCGAGCTTGTCTTCTCGGTATGGTTTGTGTTGGTGCACATGGGGCTTGGCGGTTCAGGACCCCTGCCGTCACCAAGGTGGAGGGCCACTGAAATGCTTTGCAGAAGAATGGCAGTTGCGGAGGGTGGATAGAGCTTTCTGGAAATTTCATGTTGACTACACACTTTTAAGACATGTACCGTTTCGTGACACAGTAATTAGGTTTTACTCGCAAACCGTAGCCCCTTTTAAGAGATATGGGCACATACATAATTCGTAATAACAAAATGTTTGGAAACACAACGTATCTAAAGAAAAACTTTCATTTGCATATATATTTAGATATATGATTTATTGCTTATTTTGCATAAACTCATTATATTCATGTGACATGTCGACACACTGCAGCTGACACATGAATGTGTCACGACATACAGTTTGGAAAACTCTGATTGAAAAGAACAGAAAGTGGTGTTTCTCCCTATAGCTTTTGTGACATTGAGGGTGGTAGCTTGAAAGCTACTTCCTTCTCGGTTCTTAGATTTGGAAGATTTGGAATTTGCCACTGGAGATAATTTTGTACGAAACAGACGGTAAATGGAACATAGGAATGGCACAAGGATTATGAGAACGGATCTGATTTCAACTGAGGCGTTATGTTATGTCTGTTTTGTTGATCTGTCTTGTTGATTGTTAACTGTTGTGGATTGATGCTGTTGATCCTGTTTGTTGCATTGTTATGTTTTAATTGCACTGACACTGTTTGATAATTGTACCATGTAAACCGCATTGAGTCGCCTGTTAAGGGCTGAAAAATGCGGTATAGAAATAAAGCAAATAAATAAATAAATAAAATAAGTGGAAAGGGGTCACGTCCCAAATGCAGCCAGACCACTATTTCGGTGTGGTTTGTGTTGCTGCACATGGGGCTTTATCACTGCATCTTGTGGGTGCCGATTCACATCTACTGATAGCATTGCCTTTGTGCATCTAAACACCCATTTGTGTATTTCTTTTTCTCTCGACCACATCCAAAACCAAAATAGAGTCGCATTGTCTGCCAGCTACTTAACAGTTGTTTACAAACTCAGTTCTCTATCTGCATCTGGTGCAAACAAAGGGAGACACAGTGATGGCTATCTTTGTTTTCAATTGCAGGGCACAAGGGCAATCCTGAGTTAGGGGCTCTATCCTAGAGTTGGAAGAGACCCCAAGGGCCATCCAGTCCAACCCCATTCTGCCGTGCAGGAAAGGCACAATCAAAGCACTCCCAACACATGTCCATCTGGATGCTTAAAAACCTCCAGAGAAGGAGATTCCACTAGACTCCCACAGAGCACAATCCACTGTCTGATCGCTGTTACCATGAGGACATTTTCCCTAGCATTTAGATGGAATCGGTTTTCCATATTTAGGGGGAATGTCTTTTCCACCCAAATATTGAAAACAGGGTGACGCCATCATTGGGTTTTCTTTAGGCGAGGAATACTCAGGTACTTTCTCTGAAATACAAGTTCCTGGTATTGATTGGATTGATCCTGCTCAGCTTCCAAGATCAGATGGGATCTCGTGCCTTCTGCAGAGAAAAATGTGGTATGAATAATAATAATAATAATAATAATAATAATTCCCTATACTGTGCACACGTGTATTTCCAAAAATTGGAGGACTATGGCAAAAGAGAACAACAGCGGTACCAATAGTGTTTGGTGCTCTTGGAGGCATTCAAAGAAACCTCGAAAAACACTGAAAAAAGCCTTAATTTGGACAGAACCTCAATCCAGAAGGAAGGCAGCCCTTCTTGGAACGATGCACATTCTGTGAAAATACCTCTAATGTCCTAGACCCTTGGGAAGAGATCAGTATTCAGAGACGAACCCTAGACACTTGAACCTAATGTGCACGTGTGCTGTATTGTTATGTACATGGAAATATAATAATATATATTGTAATGTAATAATATATGATAATATAATCATATATGCTAATATATATAATACAATAATAATATATAATAATATACCTCTAATATCCCAGGCCCTTGGAAGAGCCCGATATTCAGAGACAAAACCCAGACACTTGAACCTAATGTGCATGTGTGCCATGTTGTTATGTACATGGAAATATAATAATATATATTGTAATGTAATAAAATATTATAATATAATCATATATGCTAATATATATAATACAATAATAATATATAACAATATACCTCTAATATCCCAGGCCCATGGGAAGAGCCCGATATTTAGAGACAAAACCCAGACACTTGGACCTAATGTGCATGTGTGCTGTGCTGCTATGTACATATAAATTAATAATAATAATAAAGTCATATGAGTCCAACACAAGGACCGCAGGCTAAATCTGGCCATCTAAGACATTTCATGTGGATTGCGAGGCTTTTGCTGGCAGGGCAGTATGCAGGCAGAGGCAGTCCCCAAGTTATGAGCAAGATAGGTTCTATAGGTTTGTTCTTAAGCTGAATTTATATGAAAGCTGAAACAGGGACATTTTTAAAGTGTAGCTCCACACACACACACACACACACACACACACACACTCATGCATGCTTTGGATTGCATAGGAAAGGATGAACAGCCCTGTTGGGTTTCCTTTGCTTTCTGTGCTCCTATTTTGAAGATTTCACTTCACTTTCTGTCCCTGTGATCATTGAATAATTTGTCTTGTTGAAACAAGGATTGGAGATAAAGCTTCATTGGAAACCCCTTTTCCCCGTGATAATAATAACTCTTTCAGGAGTGAATTTCCCTTCCTTCCTAGGGAGAGAAACCTCTCACTTCCTGTTGTCTCAGCTCTGTTCTTAATTAGGAGTCATTTGTAAGTCGGATCTTTGTAACTCGGGGATGGCCAGTAGTTACATTCATCCAGTCTTACAATTACAAACAGCCCCTTCAAAGCAAGCATAAGGCTGATGTGGCCTTGGTGAAACTGCCTTTTGACTTTAGGGTATTTTGGCCCTTAAACAAGCAATAGGGACGTGTCATTCATCTTGTTCCAGATTAGCATGATAGCAGTAGCAACAGAACCCTGTTTCTCGCAATTTTGGTGCCAACATTTGCAAGCCCTCTAAGGAGAAGTTATTGTACCCCAGTTTGCAGAACCAGCAATATAAAGAAAGATGCTGGTGAGAAATTGGCTGTTTGCATGCTCGTGTTTTCAGCATGACTTATAGTGCTGCCCTCTGCCGTCACGCATCCTGGTTACGAGATCCCATTTGTCAGGACGCCATGTGTTCCACTTCGCCCACGGAAAGAAGGCTAATTCTGATAGACGAGGCATCCTTTTCTCTTTTGCAGGGAAGGGCAGTGCTGATAAGAGACAGCAACCTTCAAATGTGGAATCCTAGTTTTCACCATGACCTTTTGTTTTTTGCAAGAGCATTCCTTTTTGTGGAAGAAAATCTGTTGGCTGAACCGATTCATCTCCTGGGGCAGAAAGAGCTAATCTAGGCAGAATTAAACCAATATGACCAAGATGGTAGTGGTGGGGATGGAGAAGGGTTTTCAGATAATATACTGCCTGAGAAATTGATTTCCTATATTCTCTCTTGAATTTTTACCTAATGTCTAATTATTAGGAAACAGTTTAGATATTCCTGGCATCTGTTTCATAGAATCCTAGAGTTGGAAGAGACCTCGTGGGCCATCCAGTCCAACCCCCTGCCAAGAAGCAGGAAAATCATATTCAAAGCACCCCCGACAGATGGTCATTCACTCGGGGACAGAGAGTTCCACTGATGAACTGCTCTCACAATTAGGAAGTTCTTCCTCATGTTCAGGTGGAATCTCCTTTCTTTCTTGTAGTTTGAAGCCATTGTTTCGTGTCCTAGTCTCCAGGGCAGCAGTTTCAGTTGCTATTTTTTCCTTACTTCAAGTCCATTTTTTCTAGGGCTGTATGAATTTTTTATATCTGCTTGCATACACCCCATACCTTCCCTCATCTGACATTAGTAATAATCTGTAGGTATAAATATAATTTGGCCTAACAAAATGTAGCAAAGAATGAATGGTCAAGCAGGACCCTGTCATTGGCAAAAGGCATGGCAGGTGGGGATGGTTCTGTGCGCATCATGCATCCAACATGGGCTTCAATGTATCTGGTTGAGCCAGCTGAAGGATGGACGCCTGAAAGAATCTCTCATTGGGAAAGGCAGCATTTCTTTCCTGCTAGATACTATATTCAACCCTAGCCATGGTTTAACTCATTGCGTTTGCGTCCCCTTTCTTGCAGTGGATCCAGACAACCCGCTCTGCGCCATGGGCTATGATGCGCATGAAGAGGCACCTTCGGCTTGTCCAGATGAGTTTGATGACTTTGTAGCATTTGAGGTAAGTGGGGCCATGCCCCTCCGCACAATGCCAGCTCAGAGAGAGAGGTGGAGATCACACTCACATTGAGGCTTGTTTTGAAGGACCCAGGGGTACATAAGCTTAAGGTGTTTAAACACACACTTTAACTTCTTGCTATATGCTGATGACCTGATTTTATTGTCATATTCGCAAGTTGGGCTATGGAGGCTGCTGAAAAAATCTTATTCCTATTGTCATAAGAACTGCCTAATTAGTAATAAATTGAAGTAAAAAAATGGTATTTGGCTAATGACATAATAGACATAGATAATAGATAGTGAACCAATTGAGCAAGTTTGCATTTTTACGTACCTAGGAGTTGTTTTTTCTGAGTCTGGCTCCTGGCTCCCACATCATCAAAGAGCTCAGACAGAATGAGAGTACGTTCAAATGTCCTGCTTAAATTAAAAAATCATAACCAACCAGGATCTTTAGACCCACTTCTTAAAGTATATAAGGCTTACATGGAGCTGAAGTTTGGGGCCTCAACCAGGTAGTACCATTATTAGGGCAATCTCAATCACAGTACTTACAAAGTTTTCTGGAAGTGGATAAATGGACCCAAGCAGCCGCAATAAGAGCAGAACTGGGAGTATATACAGTTGATGCAGATGTCATCATTGCAGATGTCATCAAGGTGTGTGACGCCAGCTGAAAGTCATAGCATCCTCATCTCCATAACACCAAGGCGGCGTTCTGCCTCCTTTGTTGCCAGCCAACATTTGGCTCCATATATTGCAGCAGGCCTTACAACAGTTCAGTAGATTTTTGATTTCAGGCAATCGGGCATCTTCTTGTTGTGGAGTACACCTGCTACTGAGCGCCATTTTATCCAAGCCATGTTAATCAGTGTGGTGACTTCATCAAAAACATTGCCATCTGAAGTGATCATTGATCCAAGATACTTGAAGGTGTTGACTTCAAGTATCTAACCTTCTCAAACTGCATTTCCCAGAAGTTGGCTTACCGCCTTGTGCCGCCGCCACCTCCTTCTCCGCATTTGTTCTCTAAAGAGATTGTGAAATAAAAAGGGATTGTTGGGAGTTGAGTCAACCCTGTGAGGTAGGCAAAATTGAGAGGAAGTAACTCCAAAGTTTACATAGTACGTTTCCTCTTATTGTTGTGGTTGCTGTTATTATTTCAAAGGCTGGATAGGTATATGTTGGGTGTGTTTTGACTGTGCTTTTCTTGCCTGGCTGAATAAAAGAGGTTGGGCTCCCTCTGCCTTGTGCAAGTACTTAACGAAAAGTAACAAAGAATTCATTATATCGTTATAGTTACAATACAGACTACTAACAATTTTTTAGAAACACTTTCGAAACAATTATCCGTGCCCCCCTTATTAAATCGATTTTGGCTTAAAAATGCATATTTGCATCAACGTATATCCCAGCATTCAAGGAAACCATATGCTGGTGCGGACCGCTCCGGCGCATGCTTGGGAGTTCTGGACTCATCGCCGAACCTGGAACCCCAGATATCACTTCACTTCACTTCACTTTATTTCTTAATTAGTCGCTCTCCACCAAGGTGCTCCGAGCGACTTACAATCTAAAATAGCATTTACACAATATAAAAACATTTAACATAAAAACATTCAACAGTGACTATTTGGCAAATTAGATCTGATTACTTAAATGCACAACCAAACAGCCAAGTCTTGAGTGCCTTTACAAAAGGTTGCAACTCCAACATTGCTCTAATGTATGGAGGCAATGAGTTCCACAGAATTGGAGCATAGGTCGAAAAAGCTCTACGCCTTGCAGCTTCCAGGTGTACCTCCCTAGGGCCCGGTATGTATAGGAGATTTTCCTGGGTGGATCGAGGTGACCACTGATGGAGAAAAGGAATGAGGCGGTCCCTAAGATATAAAGGTCCTTGGCCATTTTGAGCTCTAAATGTCAGGATCAGTATCTTGTAAGAGATCCGATGTTCTATTGGTAGCCAATGCAGTTGTTGCAGAATTGGTGTAATATGGGATCTTATAGATGATCCCGCTAGCAGCCTGGCCACTGCATTTTGGACCATCTGAATCTTCTGGGTTGTTGACTTCGGAAGGCCGGCATATAAGGGCGTTGCAATAGTCCAGCCTCGTGGTGACTGTTGCATGGATTACTGTTGCCAATGCTTCTACCGAAAGGTAGGATGCCAATTTCCTTGCCTGATGAAGATGAAGAAAGGCCTGCTTACTTATGGCAGTGATCTGGGCCTCTATTGTCAGCAATGAGTCCAACCCAACCCCAAGGCTTTTAACAGTGGCAGACGGAACCAGAACTTCCCCATCAAAATCAGGCAGAGACTGGGTTAATTCTGGTGGCTGGCCGGGCCAGAGTATCTCAGTTTTAGCAGAATTCACTTTTAGTCTGCTCGCTCGCAGCCAACTCATCACTGCTTCCAAACACAGCCTAAAGTTCTCAGGAATCGCGGTTGTTCCAGGTTCGAGACGCAAGAGTAGCTGGGTATCATCTGCATACTGGTAGCACTCTATGCCAAAGCTCCGCACCAGTCCAGCAAGTGGCCGGACGTAGATGTTAAATAACGGGCGAGAGGATAGCACCCTGGGGAACTCCACAGCAAAGGCAGGAGCTCTCAGAGCTTTGGCCTAACCACTCCACCCTCTGTCTCCGGTCCCGGAGGAACAAATTGAACCATTTCAGGGCTAAACCTCGTACACCAGACAGAGCCAATCGATGAATCAGCAAGTCATGGTCCACAGTGTCGAATGCAGCTGTGAGGTCCAAGAGTACCAATAGCGCTGATCTCCCTCAGTCTAACTGACGACGAATTTCGTCAGCAATAGCTACCAAGACAGTCTCTGTCCCATGACCTGGTGGCCAGAGGAGCATTTGCACAATTAAAGTGTGTGTCAGCTGCACCTGTACCTTGGGAAATCAGACTTGGCCACGGTAGTCCATGCTCTGGTTACATCCCGTATAGACTACTGCAATGTGCTCTATGTGGGGTTGCCTTCGAAGACTGTTCGGAAGCTTTGAATAGTCCAACGGACAGCAGCCAGGTTGATCACCGAAGCGGTGTACAGGGAGCATACAACCCCCCCCTGTTGTGCCAGCTCCACTCGCTGCCAGTGCTGGCTTTAGCCTATAAAGCCCTAAATGGTTCCGGCCCAACTTACCTGTCCAAATGTATCTCCTCATATGAACCACCTTGGAGATTAAGATCATCAGGGGAGGCCCTGCTCTCAGTTCCGCCACCTTTCCACGTGCATCTGGTGGGGACGAGAGACAGGGCCTTCTCAGTGGTGGCCCCTCGGCTGTGGAACTCCCTCCCCAGTGATATTAGAGCAGCTCCCTCCCTCCTGGCCAGCAGAAAGAAAGTGAAAACCTGCCTCTGGGGTCAAACCTTTGGAGATTAACTACAGTGCAATAATAACTACAAAATCTATGGAATGACCCCGGCTTATGATTATGGATGATGTGATTTTAGTTGTGAGTATAATGTTTATGTGTTTTAATGTGAATTTTAACTCCAATTTCAAATTTTAACTTAAATGTATTTAATTGTCTGTTGTCTAAAAGCATCAAATAGTTGTCATATGTAAAGCTACCTTGAGTTATTAGTTACCAAAAAGTAAATATTTTATTTACTTTATTTATTTTATTTGGGCCTCAGCAGCACTGTTGGTTGGGAGTATTTTTAAAACCCTTCATTTCCCTGCTCTCCACTACTTGTATTACATACTGTGTATGTGCAAATTAGCATCTTGGTCCTTTGATTTGGAAAAAGAATAAGAATTGAGCGATCAATGCTGCCCTCTGCTGAACAATCAGTGCAATGCACATGAGCAATGAATGTATGCAGATATAATATATACACCTTCAAGTTACAAGTTGATTTATGGCAATTTTGTGAATTTCATAAGGCTTTCTCAGGCAAGGAATACTCAGGCCCCATCAACATTTCCATATAATGCAATCTGAACTGCATGATGTGGTCAGTGGAGACTCATACGATGCAGATTGAACTAGATTGTTTGGGTCTACCTACACTGCCATGTAATCCAGTTCAATGCATTCTGAAACAACATTATATGGCCATGTAGATGGGGTCTCAGAGATGGTGTTGGCATTTCTTTCCTCTGAAATAGAGCATACAGCACTTGGTATCCATTGACTGTCTCCCATCCAATTACTAACCAGCGCAGTATCCAAGTCCTGGTGCTTCTAGGTACAAGAAGAAGGTTTCAATAATACTGTTTAACACGATTTCTGTTTCTGGGTTCTAAATGTCATTTCCTAATTGGTTATATCATATGAAAAATGTTTATTAAACTGCAAGGACTTTGCTTTTGCAGGAGGGGCTTCCTGCAGAACATTTTGCAATAGTTTCCCAACAACTCTCATCGAGTCTCAACCCATTCAACCTAATTTTTGACAACCACAAAAACAAAGTTTCTGGAGTAGAAGAACTGCTTTCAAATTAAGGACCACACAATTAAACAGGAAATAACAGTTTCAAACCAGGAACAGAATTATTTTCAAATTTTGTTACATAGTATAATTTATGACATATAAAGGGGTCGCAGTAGCACAGCGGGTTAAATCTCCAGCTGTAGAAAATCTTGCCAACTGGAAGTTTGGCAGTTCAAAGCCATAGGTCAGGGTGAGTTCCTGCTGTTAGCCCTAGCTTCTGCCTACCTAGCAGTTCGAAAACAATAATGTGAGTAGATCATAGATACAGCTCTGGCGGGGATGAAAAAGGTGCCCAAGCAGACATGCTGGCAATTTGATCAGGAAGGCGTCCATGGACAGCAGGCTCCTCAGCATGGAAAATGGAACAAGAGCACCTCTTCATGGCCGGAGTTGAGCATAGCCTCTAGATGCCAGAGATTAAAAAGAGGGAAGCCTTGCCTCTTCCTATGTACTGGTTTGCAAATTTTCAGTTCTGCATGCTTTACCCATCCACTCATAATTTTTTAAAATTGCAGCATTTGAATTCCTTTTCTCTGTTCAGCTGTTAAA